GTGTAGTGGCGGGGTCGTACGTGATGATGCATGAAGAGAGGCGTAGGAACTCATTATTGTCAGCAACGAGCGGACCATGCGGCATTCCGGTAGGTTCCCAAGGATACATGGATATTACAGTGCGATGTGGGGCTAGAATATGAACTCCTTCACATGATAAAATAGTAGAAACTTATCAATGTGAAGATCCACAAGGTACTCACCGGGCAGTACATAGTATACTACTAGTACAGTATATCGGAAGGTTGGACTTTACCTCTATACCATCCATACACCGGTATGTAGGTACTTCGAAGTACACGGTAAACTTGATGGCAAGGTGGGCCCACCAAAGTTATATCGATCTTTTATACCCGGAGTATTTCGTTGTAACATAACATGAACATTGCTTACTGATATCTCATATGGATCAACGTATTAGACTCGTAAAATGTAAGCGCACACGTGTCCTTACTTCTTGCCAAAATGACTATTAACATCGTCGCCCTTTCCATTCTCCAACCTCACGGTAGGTTTGCACGCAGTTGTATGCTCTAACGTTGAGGAAGGATACACAGCAGAGCATAAAGCTGTATACGTGGGGGGAGAACGATGCTCAAGCGAACTCTTTCACGCCCAGAATCGATCAGTTTTTACGTCACAACGTTCATACGATACGATACATTACAGGTGGCGTAATGCCGAATTCGGGACATCGATCGCGAACCCATCTGGAGTTCCCCCGGCTGACACAGTGAAACGGCGTATGACTTTGTCTTGTACAGTCTTTCCGGATTTGCGATCGACAAGTCAAGTTGCCACGACAATGCTACTGTACCCCCTCGAGTTTCTATGACCAACGACATGGGCAACACGTGATGTGGCAGACGTAAGTAAAAGTGATGTTTCTCGACGCCATGGCCCGAGCTGTTGACTCGTTGCGAACGGAAGGGTTTCACATGATTTCCACAAAAATGTACCAGCAGCGCCTCATTAAGCGCAGTTAATCCTTCGCTTGTCATCAACTATTGAGTGTGGGGAATCTCCCGACACATCGTTGGACGACATTACAGACTCGACAGCGAGCCACTGCAGAAAGCTTGCCCTCCGTTTACGAGGTTGGTTTTTTATGGCTGCACCGTCCACTCCAAGCAATCGTCAGCGACACCTATTTACGATGCATTTCATTGGAGCAGGGTCAATATGTGAAGTCAGGATTGGTGGGCTCACGTGAACTATTCGAGCCCCGAGATGCCACGTACCTTGAGGTAGGTATGGAAGCGATATGTCGGAATGAATTTGTGGGGTCACTCTCCTGTGTAGTATTCTTGCTCGACCCGGAATGAACATGACCAGCTTGTGCTGCTTCTGGCTCGCCAAACGTACGAGTTTTCCCACCTGCCCACGGTACCGGACGCGTTTCGCGTGCAGTTTGAATAGTGGTTTGTCTTCACGCTAACACAACCAACGCCACGGTGGAATACGTTCATTACTACAGCGGATTTCCTACCGATGGAGAACTTCCCCGCCTTCATTCGACATCAAAACACAACAAGGAAGCCCCAAAGTTTAATTCTGACGCGACACTGCGATTAGCCCAACTCTGTCGCCAGCGGTAACTTCAAGATCCCACAAACATGTGCCCATCATCAACCCCCGTCCAACGGTAGGTGCTACCCCCTTCGTTGAGCCCTTGATCATTGGCACGTAGGAGCGCGATGATTTGTCACTATACTGCATATCCTGCGACAAAAGCCTGCACCGCTCGATTGAAGCCTGCCCGGCCTCGATGCCATGGATGCCGTAGCCGAATGTGCTCCAAGTGCAAAGTGCGCATCCCGCCAGCTCAGCCGTCCAAGCTGGAACATCCGCCCATGATCAACGTTGAGTTCTGCAAAGTATGCCTCGTCAGGGCCACCACTCAACCCAAGTGGCGTCACGAGAACGTGTCGACACATTACAGGCGGCGAACAACCGAGCTGTTCGCCGCCTGTAGTTTCCGTCCTTCCACCCCCAGAGCGGGCAACCTTGTCTACAACCACAAAAGTAAGCGTTATACTGTATGATTCCCCTCGCAGTGACGTGGCTGAGATTTGTTTTTTCAACGACGACGTGGACAAAGTCGATGAACATGAAAGGGGGTGCCACGTTGCACCAGCGACACACAGCGCCGCACACGTGGAAGGCCACCGAGGGTGACATCACGTGGCTCCACCAACAAGCGGCTCTCACAAAGTTGACGGACACTCAAGCCCCGACAGCGTCATTGGCAGCGCTACATAACCTCCTCTTATGCATGCAACGGGAACTGACGATGATTGCGACAACTTGTAGCGTCGTCCAATTGTGTTGGCACGGTGTCGATATACCAGTAGTTTGTATGACCATCATACTTTGCTTATAAACAAATGCGTGGTGAATTCACGTTTGAAAACGGAGGCATGAAGGCGATTACAGCAGCGCATGCATATACCGCCCCCAGTGCTATGACGAGTAATTCAGGCAGAGAATACTAGTGTCAATAGACTGCCGTCACGAAGCTACATATTCCTCGTAGTTTGTACGCGAGTGTGAATGTCAAGAGAATGCATGACGTAGGGTAAATGTTTGACCACCCCACGTCGTAAATTATGACAGCATTACGACTCGTAATGATGCACTTCAAGGTAGTGCTAGTGTATGACAATATGAATTACGAACCTTTGTTATCCTTTGATTCTCGGAGATGTGGGGTGCAGTACTTGCCATTCTGGACGCCTTTGCCACAGCCTGGAACGATGCAAGTGTTTCCGCCACCGTGTCTTCGACACCTTCCATGGCCTTGATACGTTTTCTGGCAGCCAATTACTCTGCACATGCGACGCCCTCCATGAGCTTTGCATAGCATCTTGTCTTGGGCTCTTGTGATACAACCATTAACGACACATCGCTTACCGCCACCGTGTCTGTAGCTGTTGACGCAGCCAGGTTCGCCGCACAACTTCCTTCCACCATGCCGTTTGCAATACCTTCGACTAAACGAGATGCGGTTATTGCATCCATCTTTGCCGCATGTGCTGGCGATTTCGCGCAACGAGCATGAAATGTCGGCCAAGTCGAAAGCGGAATCGGTCGAGTCGTCATAGTCGAGCACGACGGGGGACAATTGTTGATGGCTATGGGGTACTCGGAACGGAGTCGAGGATGGAGCTGACGGCGTCTGCGCAAAGCATGAAGACGCCGTCGTTACAACGTAGGTCCATCAGCGGCATCGAATTCACGTCAAAGTTCACAGGCGCTTCGAAAGAGCGACACGCGTCCTCAAAGAGTGGAAGGAAGTGAATGTGACCATCGTTAGTTGCTAGCGGTGCAAGGTAAAATGAACAATGCACAGACAAGAGGTTCAAAAGGAAAGTTGCCTTTGTACTTGCAGAGCTCGGTACAGTATATTTGAACCTGTCACAGTAGCCTTTTCTATCTGAGAACACATCATCTACATCATCTGATGCCGCGACAGGTGTCCGAGTCGGATTCACAGGCCTCGACGGAAGCAAATTGAGTTCATTCTGCTAGAGAATCGTCAATGCTTAGAATATGAACGCACAATTAGCACGTGACCTGGTTACTGTATATGTATACGTATAGTTGTTGACATGTAGTATGGCCCATGATGTTACTTTGTGTTGACTGTGAGTACAGTACATGTGCAACATCATGTCGTTACTGTAACGGCAACCATCACACGAAGTCATAGTACTGTATTCGGCAACTCCAAATGAAAAAAGGAATTATACGGACATGAAGTGGCCATCAACATATTGTGAAAAGTGGATCGACTATAATAAATGCATGCAGGTAGTGTCTCTACTCGATGGCATCCATGTACGAAGTACAAACTCCCTTCTTCGTGGCAACTGGCGAAAGGTAATCCGCCTACCGCTAGAGGAATGACCCCCTCACAGAATGACCCAGAACTGGTGGTCCGAGTGCATTTCCGTACTAGTACTAGTACCGGTACGTGATAGCGTCGGAAAACACGGTACGTACTGTGTTTGTGCTTCATCGAAATTGCCATGTGAACGACAGATGACTCATAGTTCAACCAACTGCATATAGTCGTCCTCCTACAAAATCATGAACATAGTTTTACTTGGTAAGTTCATAGAGGTGCCTTCGATATGGATATCCAGTGGCTTTCGAATTTTATCTATCCCAAGCCATAACGACCACACCATTACAGTACGGGTACATTCGTGAATGCATCGGCTTTAGCCGACGTTAGCGATTGGGAAGTTTGGCTTTGCTTTCCATCCAAACTGAAAAGATGAGATTTCACATGCTGATTCAATGTCAGATGTAACTTCAAGCTGGCCCTTCACGAAAAACCTGTCATGTAGTACTAGTCCTTGTACTAGATATCTGCTGAAGTTGCAGGGCAGCTGATACCTTAACCTTGTAACCTTGTACTAGTAGACTATATGGCGTCAGCCTTGCTGGCCAAAACTGTTGTCAAGGAAGCATGCCCTGTGATACGTACGTATATCCCCCGTAACCCTGAAACCTGAAGCCCCCCGTGGGTGACTGTACGAGGTCAAAGTGTACAAACTCACGATATACACTGGCGTAGATGGGGTCAGAGCAAACTCTATGGGGGAATCGGGATTGTATGTAGTGCAACGCCCCAGTCGTAATGCATTTGAATGAAAAAAATTCGTCTCATCGCCAACGACCATTGCATCTGTGCAACCACAGAGTATTAGGTATTCCGAGTATGTAGTGAGCGAAGTTGAGTCCCTCCGCAACTCAACAACTGTAGGCGACGTGTAATCTTGACGGCATAGTTTTCATACGTTTATTGCGAAAGCATTACGGTAGGTCAATCCTGTAATATTCAGTGTGGATAAACAATACTGGTACTATTAATTTTAAATAATTCCGGTACTATTATTAATAATAGTAATGGTCTCCTTTTAGTGGAAAGGGTTAAGCTGCATTATCCGGATTCAATTCTAGACGTCATTTACTGTGTAACGTTAGTACAATTTTTCAATTGACACATATGTACGAATATTGGGTTACACAGTGTATATATAATATGTAGCGTGCATTGAAGGAAAGTATTGTGAATGGGTGTGTACTACAGTACCACTGCCCCATAAAGCTGGAAAGGTATTGAAAACATAGATTATGAACGTGTATCCTTTGATTCTCGGAGATGTGGAGTGCAGTACTTTCCATTCTGGACGCCTTTGCCACAGCCTGGAACTACGCAAGTCTTTCCGCCGCCGTGGTTTCGACACCTTCCATGGCCTTGAGACGTGTTCTGACAGCCAATTACTCTGCACATGCGACGCCCTCCATGAGCTTTGCATA